CCCCAAAACCCCAAAACCCCAAAACCCCAAAACCCCACCTATGAGGAGTAGCCTTTTTAAAGAATCATTAAATCAATTATAAATTTAGACTATGGGATTTAATTATATGAAGCTTATCTCAAAGATAATGCTCCTCAATTTTAACATAATCTGCAGGGAACCAACCTTATTTCAAACCTATAGAGCCAAACATCCAATTGGAGCCTTTTATTCTTTGTTCAATGATAATCTTTTGTCCCACCTTGAAGCTGAGGTCATTTTCTTTTTCTCCAACGAATTATTTTTCTGCTACTGCTATTTCAATAGTTCTGTTATTTGACTAAATAGTCGGTGGGGAGGTTGATTATTGATCTTGAGAATAATTATTTTAGAGGTCTCTTAACTACTATGTATTGAAATGGAAATTATCTAAGTCTTTTGTGCTTGCCATGATCTTGCATTATTCATTGTCATCATTACTTGATCTCTTTGAGCTTATTTACCTCATCTAATTTGAAAGATTATGACTACCAGCATTACTAACTTCAAACTGATTATTTTAAGAGTGTATGAGTCTATTAGCAATCTAATGATTGAGATTATTCTCATCGTTATCATCTTCATCCGAATATTCATCTTTATTAACAAATTCTACTGAGTATTTAAGCTGCTTTGGTTATAGTCCATCATCAATATGCAATGTTTGAAGGTTTTATTGTGATTGTCTATGAATTTACTCTTGATAATCTTTGGGACTAAAGGTATCTAGTTTGGATAAGCTATTTAATACCTCATTAGTATACTAGGATAAATTTCTACTCATAGTTTATTACTGTTATCTTTGCTAATGTAGATCATAGGGAATTATGCCATTATAGTCATTGCAATTCGTCTTATCTATATTTCCGAATAGGCTATTTTCCTTCATTGTAGTGACTTGCTAATAACTGCTAGTCTTCTCAGCTGAGTCATCTTCATAGTGGAAACTTTTGAGAGTATAATTATAGATGTTTCCCATTGAGTTGGCTGTGGCATTTTAATTATTGATTTAAGAGTCTTTAATCGAAATCTTAGTGTTTTAATTGCTAAAATTTTGAGAATCATCATGGATTTACTAAACTATTTGCTATATTTATCTGGTAGCACTCTAGTTAGTAGTTGAATTTCCAGTAACAACTCTTAAACCCTCTTCTAATACTCTTTCTTCTATACTGTCATAAGGAGGTGGTGGAGATTATATGCTCTACCTAAATATCTTAGTGGCAATCTCTCTCTTATCTTGATTTTGGTTTTCTACAGAAAAATCCATAGCCGAGGGGAAATGCTGGAAATGATAGAGTTCATCATCTTCTTCATCTTTTGATTCATGATATCTGAGTTGAGTTTTAGGTGTACTTGATCTTCCTCCACTCCTAGTTTTTCGAGCTTTTTAATCACTTCTTGTTTTATTGAATTGTTAAGATTATGATCTGTTATGATAGCCAGTCTAGTAGACTTATTCTACATCTTAGTCATTTTACTATTGCTAAGGTGTAAAATCAATTTAGGGTATTTTGGCTGGGAATTGATTGCTGCTCTGTCTCTGCGAAACAAGGTCACTTATTTGTATTTATAGACTCTAAATTCTTTATTAAGTCTCTTGATCATTAATCATTTAATCAATCATTGCTTTCTAGACAAGTTGAGATATTGATTGCCTAAGTCTTTGTAAATCTTGGCTTTTTTAGCCGCACATATCTAGAATACTGAAGACTAATAAATTCAAATATGAGATGTTTTCATTTTGCTTTTGAATAGTAAAACTGAGTTCCTCTTGATTTTTCTGGCATTCAGCAAATACAATTTTTTCCTCTAGGTATTTGGTATAGTAAAATGCATACTTTTAGTAATTTTCTTCTATGTCTTTAAGATGTTCCAATGTTTTCTCTTTTTCGATACTTGCTTTCTGCTTAAGTTAGTGAATTTAATGATTCAGACTTTATACCTAATCTTTAAGCTCCTTAATCTAGTTTGTCTGCATCATGAATGGAAAGCTTTCAGTTGATTCTTATTACTAAAAATTCAAAACGAACTAATCCTTATTTTTTACAGAACCCATATTACAAAGAGTTGACTAAGATTGCTATTGATTTCTTGAATTATTTTGTATATGATTAGTATGATTCCTTGAAGTATAGTTTTATTAAGGAGGGAATGAAATTTAACTTTAATTAGGGTCTTATGAGTCAAATTTATTTGACTAGCTTGATAGAAAGCATTACTGTCCATTCAAATTTTAATTGAAAGTTGGGATGTTGGCATTTTTTATTGGTTGTATAGTGGTCTATTATTGGATAGATGGGTCTTATTAGTTTTATTTAGTTTTCTATTCAACAACTTTCTTAGGGGTTGTAGACTTTGGCTTATTATCCTTTTGATGGAGCTTACTCTTGGATTATGATCTAGACTTATTTTTATCTTACTTTTAAATGTTATCAGCAGTTTTTGGATTAGCTCTTTAGCTCAGTATAGGAGTATTATTACTCTTTGAATTTATTGGAGATTGTTTCTTTTAATTAGCATCTCTCTTAACCTCTACTTATTTTTGAACCTACTTCTAAATAATAATGTTTTCTTTATCCTGATTTTTCCCTTTCTTATTGCTTTTTTGCTTTTGCTTATTACCCTTAGATTCCATTTCTCTCTCAGGATTCTTACTAAGCATTGTAATATTTATCATACTTGAGTCGTAAGGTTGGAAATCTATAACTTAATTGAAATTTTATTCTTAGTTTCCAAATAGGTTCTCTTATTCTATTTTATCAACTATTTAGCATATTGAATTTCTATCCAAGAATGACATCTAATCGATATTATTGAGACTAAATTCTTATTTGGACTAAGATAGTATTTGATTCTACTCTTAGTTGCTTAGACTAATACTTTATCTATTACTCTACAACTATTTTAATTACATTCTCTGCTTTAGATAGATATTTTCATTGAAGGCATTATTGCTACTGCTATGGATTACACTATTTTGATTGAAATTTAACCAGTCATTAGACTGCTAAGAACTGTGATTGTTAGATTAGATTAATTACTTGTAACTATTATTGTTACTCACATTGTTCCTATTACTTTGATTTTTTGCAAATTATGGGCTGCTATTTAGATTTGAATGATACTAATTCTAAGATTTGTTATGTAAATTCCTTTAGCTTGATTGTTCAGTATGGGCTAGCTATTTATTTCTATGCAGACTAGTGGTTGATTGATGAGTAGATCCAACTAGTGAATTCGAATTTGAAGATTTTTAATAGGAAGTAAACTATGCTGTAAAGGCTGGGGAAGAACTGAGTTGAGAAAAGAAGCCTTTCTGAAATTTCTATAGCATTGGAGACTTTTTAATCTGGTTATTTGGCTATGAAGGACTTACGCTTTAACGTTTAGACATTGCTATTTTATTTAAATTTGATTTCTAACTGATTCTAACAATATAAGCTTGATGGGGTTTTGGGGTTTTGGGGTTTTGGGG